CAACAGTTACAACATGATGGTGTACCTGTATAATCTCTCATTGATCAGTACTATAGAACAAAGTCAACAAACTTTAAATCACTGCCAGGGAAACAGGTCACAAATGTCACTTCATTTTTATACACGTCTTGTTAATTACTGTACCCACAGGCTAGCTGTTCCCTCCCTGACTCCCCATAGAACAAGAATTGTACATATTCTAGATTTATTCCCTCCCTGACTCACCATTCAACAAGAATTGTACATATTCTAGATCTATTCCCCTACCAGCTGACTCACCATTCAACAAGAATTGTACATATTCTATCTAGATCTATTCCCTCCCTGACTCACCATTCAACAAGAATTGTTCATATTCTAGATCTATTTCCTCCCTGACTCACCATTCAACAAGAATTGTATGTATTCTAGACCTATTCCCTCCCTAACTCACCATTCAACAAGAATTGTACGTATTCTAGTTCTATTCCCTCCCTAACTCACCATTCAACAAGAATTAAACGTATTCTAGTTCTATTCCCTCCCTGACTCACCATTCAACAAGAATTGTACGTATTCTAGATCTATTCCCCTACCAGCTGACTCACCATTCAACAAGAATTGTACATATTCTATCTAGATCTATTCCCTCCCTGACTCCCCATACAACAAGAATTGTACATATTCTAGATTTCTTCCCTTTCTTGTCTCTAAGTTATACCATACAACCAAATTGTAGGCCTCAGGCTTATTAGTCCCATTGAACAAGAATCAGCTAAGTATTTAGAAGTAGGGTTTTAAATAATACACTTCAGTGTGGTAGTTATATCGTCGGAGTTTCATAAAATTGTAGGCGTGGTCAAGACAATATTCCATCTACAGACAGACATACAGATAGACAACCCGATTCTAGTATACCCCCTTAACTAGTTTGTATATCAGGAAAGTAATGATTTAAGCCCTTATAGGTGCATTCTAATTTATCACAGTCAAAAAAGTTAGTTTATAAAACGACCCGCACACTCCTGCTCAATGACACACATTCAATCTAATATTTATTCTCCTTAAATTTAAAATGAAAAAAATCACCTGGTACGCCAAGAAAGCCCATTATATATGGTAGTTTAAAATCAATTAGATGTTGTTAATTTGAGTGCTGATCACCTGTTATACCCACAGGGTATATCTGTCTGGTTAATAGTGGGCTATATATCAACAGTTCAACAACACTACAATGTAATCACTGGAATGAGCTCATTGATTTCATTGACAAAGATTAAATAACCACTATCTTCATCTTTTAACATAGAAATTTGTTATTTGAAATATTGGAGAAAACAAATATAAAATATATATATATATTTTAAGCTTGCACAGTACACATATCAATCAAAAGAATATTTTGAAATACAGTTTTCAAATCCATGAGTTTCCTACCCTGAGAGAGTTCCTAGCCTATGAATTTCCTACCCTGAGAGAGTTCCTAGTCTACTGAGTTTCCTACCCTGAGAGAGTTCCTAGCCTACTGTGTTTCCTACCCTGAGAGAGTTCCTAGCCTACTGAGTGTCCTACCCTGAGAGAGTTCCTAGCATACTGAGTGTCCTACCCTGAGAGAGTTCCTAGCATACTGAGTTTCCTACCCTGAGAAATTTCCTAGCCTATGAATTTCTTACCCTAAGAGAGTTCCTAGCCTACTGAGTTTCCTACCCTGAGAGAGTTCCTAGCCTACTGTGTTTCCTACCCTGAGAGAGTTCCTAGCCTACTGAGTGTCCTACCCTGAGAGAGTTCCTAGCATACTGAGTGTCCTACCCTGAGAGAGTTCCTAGTCTACTGAGTTTCCTACCCTGAGAGAGTTCCTAGCCTACTGAGTTTCCTACCCTGAGAGAGTTCCTAGCCTACTGAGTTTCCTACCCTGAGAGAGTTCCTAGCCTACTGAGTTTCCTACCCTGAGAGAGTTCCTAGCCTACTGAGTTTCCTACCCTGAGAGAGTTCCTAGCCTACTGAGTTTCCTACCCTGAGAGAGTTCCTAGCCTACTGAGTTTCCTACCCTGAGAGAGTTCCTAGCCTACTGAGTTTCCTACCCTGAGAGAGTTCCTAGCCTACTGAGTTTCCTACCCTGAGAGAGTTCCTAGCCTGTGAGTTTCCTACCCTGAAAGAGTTCCTAGCCTGTGAGTTTCCTACCATGAGAGAATTCCTAGCATACTGAATTTCTTACCTTGAGAGAGTTCCTAGCCTATGAGTTTTCTACCATGAGAGAGTTCCTAGCCAACTGAGTTACCTACCCAGAGAGAATTCCTAGTCTAAGTATTTTCTACCATGAGAGAATTCCTAGCATACTGAGTTTCTTACCTTGAGAGAATTCCTAGCAAACAGAGTTTCTTACCCTGAGAGAGTTCCTAGCCTACTGTGTTTCTTACCCTAAGAGAGTTCCTAGCCTATGAGTTATTTACCCTGAGAGAGTTCCTAGTCTACTGAGTTTCCTACCCTGAGAGAGTTGCTAGCCTACTGAGTTTCCTACCCTGAGAGAGGTCCTAGCCTACTGAGTTTCCTACCTTGAGAGAGTTCCTAGCCTACTGAGGTTCCTACCCTGAGAGAGTTCCTAGCATACTGAGTTTCATACCATGAGAGAGTTCCTAGCCTATGAGTTATCTACCCTAAGAGAGTTCCTAGTCTACTGAGTTTCTTACCCTGAGAGAGTTCCTAGCCTATGAGTTATCTACCCTAAGAGAGTTCCTAGTCTACTGAGTTTCCTACCCTAAGAGAGTTCCTAGTCTACTGTGTTACCTACCCTGAGAGAGTTCCTAGCTCACTGAGTTACCTATAATGAGAGAATTCCTAGCCTACTGAGTTTCCTACCTGAGAGAGTTCCTAGTCTATGAGTTTCCTTTTTCTGTGAGTGTGCTTACCAAATTTAAGTTTTCTACCCCAAGAGTAACTTACCTGACTAACCTAACTAGGTGTTTAGATCCTTACTCAGAATGTGTCTGCCCTGTTAAAATGTTAATTCTCATCCCTTAGACTTTCCTAACATGAGAGTTCATGAGTTTCCTTATCTTAGAGTTCCCTAACCTATGAGACTCATATACATATCATCATTCTCATATTCCTGTTCATGAAATAAAAAGCTGTCTTCAAGGAAGGGCAGATGTATCTAACATTTTCATAATGATGTAAAAATGATGATGTCAATATATTCATAGCTGTAGTGAATTCTAGCTGAACCTTAATTATGGTTATATAGTGCAAAACTAAGTTATGGCAAATATATAGATTCTTTTAAAAACAAATTGGGTTGGACAATTTTGAAAATTGAAATCAGTTGGTTTAAGATATTTTGTATGCAAATTTTAAACTTTCAGAATACCAAATGTACTTGTGCAGTGTAGTAAAGATTTATCACTGTGGAATTGTTTACAGTCAATAAACAAACAGATATGAATTATGGTCTACCTGTTCAACTTGCATGTATATTGCACCTGGTCAAATACATAAATAACAATCTACCTGTTGACTGGAGGAGACGTTTTTATGTAATATACCAGTGATTTAAGTATTGTAGACATGTAGGTGTGTACGTAAACTAATAACGTCCATCCTTCTATTTCCTAGTCTCAAAGATCTGATATAAACCACTAAACATCACTAAACCTGTGAATTATATACATATAATTAAAACCTATAAAATTAATTAAATTTCTAATGGAAATCTAGAAGGATAAAATGTACATTAATGCTTTTATTAAATCTTCAATAAGCTATTCTATTGTAACCTTATTTATAATCAAAACCAAAGGCTTACCGTGATGACTTCCATGTAGGTACAGATAACCATTAGGGGAGTGAATGGGTGGTAGAGGGTTATTGGAGGTAGTGATAGAGGGTTATTGGAGGGAGTGATAGAGGGTTATTGGAAGGATTGTAGAGGGTAAGTGGAAGGAGTGGTAGAGGGTTAGTGGAAGGAGTGGTAGAGGGTTAGTGGAGGGAGTGGTGGAGGGTTAGTGGAGGGAGTGGTAGAGGGTTAGTGGAGGAAGTGGTAGAGGGTTAGTGGAGGAAGTGGTAGAGGGAGATTGGAGGTAATGGAAGAGGGGGAGTGGAGAGAGTGGTAGAGGGTAAGTGGATGGAGTGGTAGAGGGTTATCAGAGGGAGTGGTAGAGGGTTAGTGGAAGGAGTGGAAGAGGGTTAGTAGGAGTAGTATTCCAGGGCTAGATTTGAGGATGTAGTATTGTTAGGTTTGACTTGAGGAGGTAGTATTGTTAGGTTTGACTTGAGGAGGTAGTATTGTTAGGTTTGACTTGAGGAAGTATTCTAGATTTACATTTGAGGAAATAATGTTCTTAAGTTAGATTTGAGGAGGTAGTATTATGGGGTTGGATTTGAGGGGGTGGTATTGTATGATGAGATATAAGGAGGTAGTATTATGGTGTAAAATTTAAGGAGTTATTATTATCCCATTAGATTTGAGTAGGTATTATTGTGTGGTAAGATTTGAAGAGGTAGTATTGTAGTATTGTAGGACATGATTTAAGGAGGTAGTATTGTAGTATTGTAGGACATGATTTAAAGAGGCAGTATTGTGACGTCAGATTTGAGGAGGTATTATTGTGGGGTGAGAATTAAGGCGGTAGTTTTGTAGTTTTAGATTTGAGAGGGTGGTATTGTGGGGTTTGATTTGAGGTGGTAGTTTTGTGGTGTAAGTTTTAACGAGGTAGTATTGTAGGGTAAGATTTGAGGAGGTGGTATTGAAGGGCTAGATTTGAGAAGGTAGTTTTCTTGGGACAGACTTAAGGAGGTAGTATTGTAGGATAACATAGGTGGTAGTATTCTAATCTTAGATTTAAAGAAGTTGTATATATTTCAGTGTTAGATATGAGTTGATAGTATACTAAATTTATATTTGAACATTTAGTATTCTATTTTAGACCGGAGGTGATAGTATTTTAGAGTCAGATATGAGGGGTTGGTACCAGTATTGGACGAGAAGAAGTATTCCATGGTTAGATTTGAGGAGGTAGTATACATACTTCTATCTTGATGAGGTCTAGACGCTTGAGTTTGCGATGTGTCTCCTCCACAGCAGTCGACGACTTGCAGCAACAGGAAGTCCACATGGCACACTGTATGACTGACACAACCCAGTGGATGATGGTCACTACACCTAATGTTATGTACACTGTCCAGGTTGCAGACTGCTCATCCTCGCCACCACTGTACACAGTGCTCGTCACAATGACCAGCACCACAAGCCACACACAGTCCTCAAACAGAAGAAACTTCAGCAGTGTCTTGCCATGCTGCAACAGCTGAGCCTGCCACACGTTAGGAGAGGCTGAATGGATCCGGTTGTTAAAACCCTTCCAGTTCTTAACTGCACTTATCACAAATGTTATTGTCGCTAGACATAAAGCGATCCATATTATAAAGAAAATAAGGATGCCAAACTTGTCCCCAGTGTCTCCAGGCTTGCTGATCTTGAAACAGGTGACAGTGTGTGAAGCTATAGTGGTGAAGAACTCAATGGGGATGACTGGCAGAATGGACAGAAGGATGGAGATGATCTTCTGTGGGATGACCACTACCAGGAACACGTTACGATGAAAAGAGGAGATCTGTGATGACTTGCCAGGGTTGTATATCCCTAGCAGTATAATGCCAGCTGTCAGGAAACCACAAACACTATCGAATATCCCAAACTGTACAAAAAATCCTGCTGCTGAACAAACTTCACTTGCACTGGTTTTTTGGAAGACAAAAAATAAGATTAAGCCCACTCCCACAAATAGATGTGCTATGTCGATAGTGAGGAGGGCGTACTTCCAGAGTTTAGGGAGGGAGAACTCGCGTGACACTTTATACAGGAGTGTTAAAAGGTTGGCGGTGAAGCCCACTAGTGCTAGTGTTAACAGGCCCAGCTCCGATACCTGACTGGTGTAAGGCCTATCTGCCATGCTCCGCTCAAATTATATATAATCAATGCAAACAGACAAGTATACAAAGCTCAGGTAAACTCAGGTAGGCCCATAGCACATAGGTAACACGTTCCATTAATTTTCCTTAAGATTAGAAGCCACTCCAGCATATAGGTTCCTTTTGTAATTCACATTACTTGGCATTAAAAATATTGACAGTGGCCGATTCCTGGCCTTTAAAATGTATACCTATAAGTTTCAGGCTGGGTTGTGTCGGATCATCTTTACTGAATGATCGTACCTCTGTGATATCAAATAACGGCACATGTCTGTGGCTTGTGTAGCAATCCATTGCAATCTGAAATAAAAACAGGTAACATTATCCATCACTTGAAATATACACCGATAGGTCATTGATATTACCTAGTTGATATTTTACAATAGCAATTGAACACTTAAAAGAAGTACATTGTATAATTATATGTACATGGTAAAGTTCTACTCAAATAACTAATCTAAATAAACCAAATTAGCAATCATTACCTGAACATAGGAAAATGGTAATGTGTGATTATTCCTAAAAAAAACACCTCACCAAAGGAATATCCTGGCAGTCAGGGATTCGTAGACTAAAACATCAGGAATATTGAAGATATAGGTAAATCAATAGAAATACATACAAGAAACTAATAAAATTTCCTTCGTACACCTGTGTATCTGTACGTCTCTGGACATAGTGTATCTGTATGTTTCTGGATATGTCTCTGGACACAGATATGAAAACAAAAGTTATTAAAGCCACAGATCCTTTGAGGCTAGAAGACTATGGTTATTATTTTATAATCTATGTGTGGTATGCTTCACTGAACTTTGCTGGCCCCATGGATTGGTAACTGGACGGAGAAAATTGTATTTTTTTAATTCATATTTCTAATTGGCAATATCAAACCTGTATAACAGAACTCCAGGTGACATAGGTGTTATACTGATCACACTGCCATCATGCTAACCAGAGTTCCAGTATACAGGATGGACTAACAGTTCCTTTATACAACTCGATATAAAGATCAATGTTACTCTATGGACCAACAACTCAATATAAAGATCAATGTAACTCTACAGAACAACTCAATATAAAGGTAAATGTAACTCTACAGAACAACTCAATAAAAAGGTCAATGTTACTGTACAGAACAACTCAATATAAAGGTCAATGTTACTCTACAGAACAACTCAATATAAAGATCAATGTAACTGTAAAGAACAACTCAATATAAAGGTCAATGTTACTGTACAGAACAACTCAATATAAAGGTCACTGTTACTCTA